ACAACCTAGCTCCATCTTATATTACAGATCTTATTGTTCCATATTTTACTAACAGAGCACTTCACTCTCAGACTGCAGGTTTATTTGTGGTTCCTAGAGTTTCCAAAAGCAGAATGGGAGGAAGAGGCAACACAACCTGCTGCTTCCTCAGATACAGAACTTTAATTATTATCTTTTATAAAGTGAATGCTTCTGTTCAGTGTCCTGAGATGACGTATGTTGTGACTTGGCGCTATAGAAATAAACTGAATTGAACTGAACCAGAACCAAATCTGTCAGAAACCCCAGTGAACTCACCTAACTGGTCCAAATCAGGCTGATTAGAGCAGGAAGTCCATATCTGGACCTGGTGGATCTGGTGGACCTGCGCCTCCGGGCTCTGTTACACTTCTAGAAGATAAACACACACAAAGTCCAAGTTCAGGTTTCAGAAGAACCGAAACTATTAATTCTCAGAAAATCATGAAACAAAAATTGGATGAGTTTATTAACTCAGGAGTAGTAAATCCTCCAGGTCTGGACAGGAGGTCTTCAGGGGTTTCATGAGACAAGCTGGACTTTGGTGAAGACCCCAACATGAAAACTTACTCAGTTTTTAACCTTATCTGAAATGCTCGTTAGAAGATTGTTTAAAAATAATCAGAGCCTTTGAGCAGAAAGAAACCTCAAACTTTTACTCTACTCCCCTCTGAACCCTCTGCAGTGACGGACATCCCACATGACCCTCTGAGGCCTGGTACTGGTGTCAAAGGAGTTTACATCAATCGGGGGCAGCAAACTGGACCATGAATCTTTGTGATCTTAACATTATGGGGTTCTTCTCACTTAGGCCTGTGGTGTCCAGATCTGGTCCTGGAGGACCACTGTCCTCCATCTTGTAGAAGTTTCTCTGAACCAACCCACCTGACCACCCCATCACCCTGAGACATTCTCAGAGAGACTGGGTTTCAGGGTTTCACAGCGTCTCGGGTCATTTAGAGGAATGTTGTGTCTCAGTCTGTGGATAAAGTACTGGTGTTGGGAGCATGAGTCAGAACCTGAATGATCAGGTGGATGATGGGGACATGAGGACAAGTTTCAGCTACAACCATGGTTCCGTGTTTGTTGTTTGTTTGTGCATCTTTTTACCGGGACGCAGTTGTCCTCCTGTTTGATGCACAGCTGCATTCTGCAGTGCAGGTAGACGTCCCCGGAGGTCCCAGAGAACTGGAACATGTTGAAGGAGAAGAAGCTGGAGGTTCCCTCTCCATTTCTCTCCACCTTCACCGTCTGGTCAGCAGGGTTCCCACACCTGCTCACAAACAGGAAACAGTTTCATCAGGAGTCCACTGAACAGACCCAAACAACCATCTCTCAGTTTGTCCCACCCGTTCATGATCAGGTCGTATCTCAAGCTTCCGTTCTCCGACTCCTGACTGGTGGCCCAGCAGGAGTCAGTCACCATGGAGATCAGGTTTCCATCCAGGCCATCGGTCTTCAGCTCCACCCAGATCTTCTGGTTCAGTTGCACCTCAGTGCTCGACTCCACGACTCGGGTTTGGCCGGGGTCGGTGAAGGCCCTCATGGTCAGGGTGTAGTTCCAGAGTCCAGATATGACGAACGTGATCGCAGAACTGCAACGCAACAAACCCAGATCAGAAACTTGTATTCAGTAGCTGACTGCAGCATGAGCCAACACCAGACCTGCTCCTGATCCTGAAGACCTTGCTGTTGGTCTGTTCGTAGAGAATGTAGGCGCAGGAGAAACCTATGTAGAACTGGTCTTTGTAAGTGATGATGTCATTGGAACTGTTCTGGTCTGTGATGAAGTTCTTGTAGATCACATTGCTGCTGTTCCTCTGTAGGATGAAACATCTGAATGTTAAAAACCAGGGTGTCCCCCCCCCACCCCCAGAGCCCAAACCCCAAGAAGAACCTCAACCCAATGAAGACAGGAGAGACATTTGACTGATAGTGGAGAGTAAAGATGTTCGGGAAACACACCGTGACCTCCGTGCCACAGCTGCCACTGCTGTTGAAGCTGAAAGTCACCAGGTGGCTCTGATTGTCCATCTGTCCTCTGCAGGTCGGGTCATTGAGGTGTAAGGCAGAGTAGTCAATGTCTTTGTCTTCCAGGAGACAATTGACCAGAGTGAGAGAAGCGGAGTTCTGACTGCAGACTGTCGGATCACCTGAATGTTGATGAGAAAACAGTCAAAAGTTTGTTTCCACTCATTCAGCCCTGAGGTCCTGCTGTCATCACAGCTGCTGTACCCAGAGTGTTGTTCTCTCTGTAGCTGGATGCAAAGACGGCCCTACAGAAGCAACGAGTTTCTCCACCACCGGTCTTCTCTCCACAGAACTCATGATCACTGCAGGTCCTGTCCTGACAGAAGACTCCAGGAGAGGCTGCAGAGCGACACACTCATAAATTATTCTGTAGAACCAACAAGGGATTTCTTTAGATCACATGTTGGACAGAAGCAGGTCTTACGGCAGTCAGCCTGGGACCTCCAGCCCTCCAGTGTGGTGTTGCTGTACAAGCTGCAGACTCTGGCGTAGGCCTCCAGGACCTGACAGTTCAGACCATCCACTGCAGGATATCTGCACAAAGTATCTGTGCAGGCGATTATGTAGGGCTCTGGGTCGATGCCACAGGAGGTGAAGGGCGCCTCCTTCAGGAGGTTACAGCTGCTCCACATGAGGAAACAGACAACATGGAAATCTTTCAGAAGATGAAACTCCAATATCCATCATCATCCTTCTGTAAAACCCAGGAATAATCTGGAATAATCTGAGCTATGACAGAGACAGACTCTTATTTTGAAGAGTACCTGCAAGCTTTATCTTCAAGCTATTTAACTATCAGTAATGGTGTACCACAAGGCTCAGTCTTAGGACCCACTTTCTTTACAATTTATATAAGTAATGTAGGTCAAAACATTCCTGACGCCTCTTTACATCTTTATACTGACAATACTGTTGTTTATTGTCGAGCTAAATTAGTTGCCAAGGTTTTCCAGCTTTTACAGCCTGGATCTGACATCATTCAGTCCGATTTGTTCTGTTTCAGTTTGGTACTAAATGCTGACAAAACCAAGGGGATGATGTTTTCAAACAGAAAGTCGGAGCCAACAGTTCTTCCTCCTCTCTCATCCATGCATGGTGCACCTATTGAGTTTGTGGATTATTACAAATACTTGGGAATTTTAGAAGATGCACATCTCTCTCAAGCTGCATATCAAAAATTTGATAAAGAAACTGAAATTAAAACTGGGTTTCTTTTTCAGAAATAGATCTTGTTTACCTCTGAATGCCAGAAAACGCCTTGTAGCTGCTACTTTCCTACCAACCATTGACTATGGTGACATTATTTACATGAATGCCAGCTGCTTGCAGAAGTTGGATGCTGTCTACCACAAAGCACTAAGATTCATAACTGGTTGTAACTACTATACCCATCACTGCACCATGTATTCCTTGGTCAGTTGGTCATCATTATCTACACGTAGGCTCTCACACTGGTTCATTTTCATCTATAAATCACTTCTTGGTCTGCTACCTTTTATATCTCCTCCTGCATGTCACTTCGTCAGTGCAGTTACAGCGTGCACTCTCAGGACATCATTACTTGCAGCATTCCCTCAGTGCAGACTGAACTCGACATATGGGGATCTATGGGGATGGTCATGATGGAAACAGAGGAGGAAGAAGAGCATGCTGGGTAATACAGAAGACCCACAATCTGCCAAGTCACTGGTTGCCATGGTGATTCCCGCTTTTAAGAGAGAACTAACAGTGAAGGGGCAGCATGCAGCAGCACTTTAGGCAGAAAGACAAACTCAAAGTAACACTTCTGCTTGTGACTGCTGGTGGATTTGAACCCCCAACTCTTGCATTGGAGTATGACTGCTCTAACCACTCAGCCACAGCCGCCCCATTCAAACAATCATTCACTCTCTCTCTCACACCTAGGGACAATTAAGAGTTACCTATCAGTCTAACATGCATGTTTTTGGTCTGTAGGAGGAAACTGGAGCACCCGGAGGAAACCCACGCAGCACGGAGAGAACATGCAAACTCCACCCAGAAAGGCTCTCGGACCGGGATTTGAACCAGGGACCTGCTCGCTGAGAGGCAGCAGCTCTACCAGTTGCGCCAACGTGCTGCCCTCAAAGTAACTCAGTGAGTGAAAACTTTAAGTCGTATTAAAAAAGTTTTAGGTTCTGTGAGAATTTCTTCCGTGATGTAGCATGTACCTCTGCAAAACATGAGACCCGTTCTTTCTGATCTGCATGTTCTGATGTATTTCTTGTTCGGGGTTTAGGAGAAACAGGTAAATATTGGTCAAAGCTTCCATCTGAGCTGCCGTCTCATGGCATTAAACAGGATGTGATGTCCCACAGAGATGAGTCTGCTCACCGTTCAATTGCCTTGGTGCAGTTGATCGAACTGTCATTAGAGTCCGTGTGCTGCACCTCACAGCTGGGGGGGCGACACACGACAAGGTCAGAGCCGTTCTCTAGGCCCACAGAGTCCATCTATCCAGCAGGAGATCTTACCTGATGGAGTTGTACTCGGGGAGCCTTAGTTCACTCCAAGACCTGCTGGAATTTCCACACAGACCTTGCAGAGAAGACCCAGCAGAACCTGGACCAGTTCAGGACAGAATGAGAGTCACGTCAGTAATAACATTCAACAGGTTTGCCATCAGTCACACCCGTGGGATGTTCTGTACCTTCCAGGTGGATCTGAGCTGTGTAGCCATCAAAGAAGACAGAAGTGGTGATGTTGGGGAGCGACACGGTGGCGCTGATTCCGCTCTGGTCCTTATGGAGCTCCACACCATGAACCATCTGATCCGAGCTGTTGAGGCTCAGTTCTGAGTCGTCCAGCTGCAGCACAGAGAGACACAGTCATGTCAAACACTAAGAACCTCTCAGATCCTGGACCAGACTCCTTCTGAGCCCTGAACGTCTCCCTGCAGCTCACCAGAACTCTGCCGCCCTGTTTCAGGTGGATGCGAACACCCGGCTCATCCAGGAGCAGCATCACGCTGTCCAGAAAGCTCACGTCTTTACGGCGCCGGTCCTGGAAGTTGGCCAAAATCTGGAAGTGTGGATCCGATGGGATGGACAGGAGAAGGTATGTACACCGATCTGGTACTGAGCTCAGGAGGCCGTCGGTGTTGATGACAGTCGGGCCCATCACGGTGCAGAGGAAGTTCATGGACAGGTTCGACGTCTGTTCAGACATGGAGGCTACGACGCAGCTGTTGGAAACAAGAACCATTCACGAGGTGCACCTGAAATCCAAACCAACCACACTGTGGTGCTAGATCACCCAGAAGATGAAACACAACCACTTCCTGCTGCTGCCGTTTCACAATAAAAGCTCTGACACAGAGACCTTTAAATGTAAGGCAGGTGTGTTTACCTGCCGTTGCCCAGGCAATGCTCCAGTGGAGCGCAGGTGGAGGTCAGGAGCCCCAGTGACTCGTTACAGGTGATGGTGACACAGGTCTCAGGAGATTTTACTTCACTTCCAGCTTTATACGCGGTGCCTGAAGAGAGGAGGAGGGTTTCAAACAAACAAACAAAAACAAAGAAGTAAACACGAGCGCTCCGGTCTAGCGCACCTGGGCCTCTGCATCCGCTCATGTCCAGGTACCCTCGGGTCTGTCTGGTCTTAGGAGTGTTTTCGACGGTCAGGGAGTCGATTGTTTTACCATTGATCCGAACATCAATCACCTACAAAAAACAACAAACAACAATAGCCCAGTGATGAAGCCCCGCCTCCTGCGAGCCTCTGCAGAACCTCACTGCTCCAGCAGGGGGCGATGGTGAAGATCAGCTTTGATTCCTGGTTCTGTTTATGTTCCAGGAGGAAGTCTGTGAGTCAGCCAGGTGTTCTGCTGTTCGCTCCGCAGACCTCACATTCAGACTTTTATGACCTTTAACAACCTTTAATGACCTTTATGAGTCCGTGTTAAAGGAGGACACACCCAGAGAGAAACACCTGAGGGTTTCTGGATGTCCTGTCAGAACAATCCATCTGTTGTTAGTTTTAGGAAGAAAACGCCTCTTCAGCAACACGAACACATCCCAATACAAACCAAGAACTATTTTACTAACACAGCTCACGCTGCTTTCTTTTGAGTTTAGGTGTCAATCATGTTAATTGTTTCCTCTCAGATTCATCTGAACATTTCAACACAAACTTGTGAGGCTGTTTGTTGATCATAATTTTTGTTTACGTGTGGATTAAACAACAACAACAACAGAAAATGTTTGTTAAACTGCCGAGACAAGAGGGATCAAATGTTAGACTTGTGGGGTTAAAGAGACATTATGGACATTTTAAGATGAAATATCTCTGTGAGCGACTTCAGTTTGGAGAAATAACCTTTTATTTTGAAAGGACGGAGGAGCTGAAGGCTGGTCTGAACACAGCTCAGACTAGATTATTTCTGTTGTTAAACAACTGTAATCTCAGACCTCATAGTGGAGATGGTAGTTTATAAATGTTTGTACTGCAAGAAGCAGCAACTCTGGTTATTTTCAAGCAGCAGCAGCTGGCTGTAGCACTTCCAGGTCAGCTGGTTGGCACTTCCTGTAGGAATGTCACAAACCTTCCTGCTGGGATTTTAAAGAGTCTTCAGACAGAAAATTTCTTTAGATCAGCCGAGTCTGAAGAATTAAAAAAGTTAAATGACGCAGTTCATTTTAGTTTATTTTGTTTAATCTTGATTCATTTTGTTTTATTATATTTTATTTGTTTAATTTAATTTAATTTGGTTTCATTTAGTTTCATTTTGTTTAATTTTTCTCTTGTTTTTGTCCTAAATGTTTGTAATTTATTGGTTGAACCTTGTTGACATTAAATCCTCAAACCTTTAATGGATCTCTACACTTAAGGACTCAACAGGTTTCAGTCTGGATCTCAGCCTTGGTTCTTCAACACGTCACTCCTCTCATTAATAATTAATAATGAATAATTAATAATGAATTAATTTTATCTGAACTCACCACAGAGCCCTGGGCGGGCACGTAGACGTACAGAACTGACAGAGACCCAAACTTTATCACGGCCAGGGTGGACTGCAGAGGAAACAGAACAGAACCTGATCATTCAGTTTTTAACGGGTTTTACCAGAACCTTGAGACCCAAACAGGATCAGGAGGACTCACATTGGTTCCATGGTATTGGAAGGACACAGTGAAGAAACAGTCCATCTGATTCTGAATAGAGGGGACATTAGAGGACACTATGGTTTCCAGGACGGGAATCCGAGGATAGATCTCAAAGCCGGCGCTCTCAGAGTCCGACGGAGGTCCAAACACACAGTCGTCTGTATTTCCAGGTGTGAAAAACCCCTGGAAGCAGATCACCAGGTTCTCCGTGGTGAAGTTAACCTGGAAGCAGAGACAAAGGAGACATTAGAGCTGGTTCCAGGGGACAGATAAAAACTGAGGTTCTGATTCGACTCACAAAGACCCGTTCATATTTCTGTCCATACAGGGTGATGGGACAAGACCTAATGTCAAACTCTGAAGGGGCACTGAACACCTGCTCACCACCTGGACACATGGAGACAGAAACATGAGGACATGTGGACAAAGACATGGAGACAGCAAGTGGGCAGACGCATGGAGACAGAAATGCAGAAATATAGAGACACAAAGACATGAAGACAGGAAGACAGAGGGGACAGAGACCCAGAAACATGGAGACAGAGATATGGAGATAGAGACATGAGGACATGTGGACGCAGCTGTGAGACTCTGTGCTGCAGCTTCATTCAGGACTCAAACAGGAAGCAGCTGAGGACCGTCCATCTTCATTATCTTCCTCACTTCTGATGTCCCGCTTGTCTCCTGGAGACATTTTGAAACCACCTGAGAGATTTACCTGTCAGAGTGATGAGAGTGGACAGGAGCAGCAGGGGGCGGAGCATGTTGGAGTGGACCAATCAGCTGTCAGAGAGAGAGAGCAAGGGTTGACACCTGTGCACACCTTGATGGCAGCTCTCTGCTTCACATGTGCAATGGGAAAAGGCAGAGAATTAATTTCCCCATTGGGGCTTAATAAAGTACAAGAAAATAAAACAATAATAATAACAGTATAATAATACTGTAGTAATAATAATAATAATAATAATAATAATAATAATAATCATAATCAGGCAAACTGAAAGTTCTAATACTTTTTTAGTTTTATAACCTCTTTTTATTTTTATTTATTAAATTAAATAAAACTTATTTTATCAGAGTAAAATAGAACAAATGTATTTCCTCAACTTTAGAGAGATCAAAGGTTTTTATCCTTCAGAACTTCTGACCCAAATAATTTCAGAATAAAAGTCCATGTCTTTGTTTCAAGTTTTTGTTTGAAGGAAAATATTTAAATCTTTTCTCGTCAGAACTTCATGAGACAAACCTTCAGCTCTGCAGCTCGTCTCACCGTCTGACTCTGAGGAGGACCAAGGCCCTGGTTCTGAAGGTTCTGCAGCAGGTGGACCCGTGTGACTCTGAGGAGGACCAAGGCCCTGGTTCTGATGGTTCTGCAGCAGGTGGACCCGTCTGACTCTGAGGAGGACCAAGGCCCTGGTTCTGAAGGTTCTGCAGCAGGTGGACCCGTCTGACTCTGAGGAGGACCAAGGCCCTGGTTCTGATGGTTCTGCAGCAGGTGGACCCGTCTGACTCTGAGGAGGATGAAGGCCCTGGTTCTGAAGGTTCTGCGGCAGGTGGACCCGTCTCTGTCTGACAGATCCCTCTGGAGTCCGGTCTTATAAAGACCCTCTGAACTGAAGCCCCCCCTCCAGTCAGAGACCTGTCTAACTCCTGCAGGTGTGGCGGGGCAGAACGGGTCGGTCCAAAGAAGGTAAGATTTATAATCTGGGAGGACATTTTTATTTCTGCACTGGAATGTGACTCGGCCAGAACCTCTGTGGGAAAACTGTCCTGTGGGTTACAGACGGGTCGTGAAACCACAGGTAGAACACCCGAGTCCTCCTTCTACACCCTCAGTCTGATCTGGACCCATGGTTCCTCCTGTTTCTGACCGAGCTCTGCAGCTGCTGGCAGCAGAACCGAACCTCTGAGCTGAAGACAGAACCAGCCTTTGAAGTGGGACCAGCCTGGAGGAGTTTCTGTTGTTCTGAGTGACAGTAACAAATCTCAGGTGAATCAGGTGACCCCACCTGCCTCATGAAGGTGTGAACACCCAGCACGCCCCGGGGCTCCGGCCTCTGGAAAAGACTTTTACGACCCAAATAAAGCTCAGGCCTCCCAGAAAAATACCTCTGACGGAGGAATGTTCACCGTCATGATGTGAACGTCGACTCTGCTCGAACCTCAAGCTGACAGGTGAGGCAGATCAAAGGTTTACATACAGGAAGTAAACATTTGTTTATTAAAGACAATTTACTTCAGACTGAAGTGATCTTAATGAATGATCTTAAACGACAGAGCTGTAACTCTAATATAACCACATTAAACCATCAGGATTACATATATTGTGTACATTAATACTCAAATTAATACTCCAAGAGGAGGAGATCTATGTCAGATCTAGTTTTGCAACACAACTGGTGTTTGCTAAATCAGCTCCTATGACAACAATCAGGTTTTAGGATTCTGTAAAATAACCGGACAACAAGACGAGTTAAAGAGTTTATTGTTATGCAGCTGCTGGTGGGACTCAGGATCCAGTGCAGGGACCAGTCTGCAGAGATTTGAAAGTTAGTGGTCTGTGTATTTCTGAGAGTGTTGGTGAACAGAAAAACACCCACTAACCTTCTTTGGCAGATGAGGTAGGAGTCACCTGTCGGAGCAGGATGATGTGACATCACCGTCACTGGATGAAGGGGAGGTGCAGAGGAGCTTCTGATCAATGTGGTCAATGGGGCAATCCAAAAGTGGGGTCCGAGAGACGAAGCGGGGGTCAAACACAGGGAATCAGAAGTCCAGAAACAATCCGTAATTCAGGGTCTGTAGGACAGAAGGAGTAGTTAAAACCAGGATCAGAAAGGTGAAACGAGAACAGATAGAGAGCAGGTAGAGGGGTAATTTCAGAAGGCAGGGGTGGGATCAAGATGAGAGAATCAAACAAGACTGTGAATGAAACGCTGGATCCGACATCTACTTCCAAGAGGGTTCAATAATCTAGTAGAGGAAGTGAGTGGGGTTGTTAGGTAGGGCGAGGAACAGGTGCGGTGCATGAGTGTTGATGAGCTGCGGGGCAGTGGGCATGGCAGGTGACAGCTGGAGGCGAAAATATAACATGGCTCCCACCTTAAGGTCTGTCTCCTGATGGACCTCCAGGGTGGTCAGGATGGGCGTGATGAAACTATTGAATGAGGGTTTTGTCCAGGACATTGCGGGCAGGGACCCATGACCGCTCCTCTGGACCATAGCCCGCCCAGTCCACCAGATAGTGTAAACCCCAACCCCACCATCTGGAGTCTCCTGATGGTGAAAGCTTGGGGCCCCATCGATAAGTCGGGCGGGAGAACAGGACCCGGAGGAGGGTCCAAATCATGGTGACACCAGTGGCTTGACTCGTGATACATGAAATGTGGGATGGATTTTTAAAGTGCAAGAGAGTTGTATGCAAACAGCCACCAGGTTCACCATCTTGGAAATGGGGAAGGGGCCCACGAAGTGGGGTGCCAACTTGTGACTCTCTACACAAAGGGGAAAGTCCTTAGTAGACAGCCAGACCTTCTGTTCCACTTGGTACGGTGGGTTAGGCGAGCAACGTCAGTTGGCACATCTAAAATAGACCCATGACATCTTGATGAGGCCCTTCCTGGCTCTCTTCAAGACCTGTTGACATCTGAGAGCCACTTTATGGGCAGATGGGACCTCAGCAGCCTTCCCCAGAATGGTGAACACCAGTGGTTGGAAACCATAAAAGGTGTAAAAGGGTGATAGACCAGAGGCAGATGATGGCAGTGAGTTGAGTGCATGCTCCTCTCAGGGCAAGTTAGCAGACCACTTGGTAGGGTCCTCCTCGCACAAGAGACGTAGTTTGGGCTCAACCTCTTGGTTGGCCCTCTCACTCTGTCCATCTTTTTGTGGGTGGAAGCCTGATGAGAGGCTGACAGAGATGCCCAGGAGGTTGCAGAACTCCCTCTAAAAATGAAATATAAATTGGTGATCCTGATCCGAGACAGTGTCCGCAGGGAGGCTACGAAGGCGAAACAACTCGTGAAGGGATGAGAAGAGGGCACAAGAGGCCAGCAGGAGGTCTTCGTGAGGTTTTGGCCTGGGTGTACTGGTGGCAGGAGGAGATGTACTCCTTAACAAGCCTTGGCCAAGTCCCTCCACCAGAACTGGGCCCTCACTACCGCCAGGCTCTTTTTTAATGCCTGGATGACAAAACAGGCACGATTGGTGGCAGAGTTTGAGTATCTTATGGATGTGGGAGTCTAGGATGACACACAATCTTTAGGGCAGTCAGGAGTACTGGTCTGGTGGTTGGCCTTGGTGAGCCAGCCTGATCTCCTCCTCCAACTATGCGATAGACAGTCGCACCATGTCAGGTAGGATGAACTCCACCTCCCTGCTGGTTTGATTTTCCTTAGTAATGTCTTGAACTCTAGAAAGGGCATCAGGTTTTGTGTTTCCTAGCTCTGGGCCTGTAAGACAGAACAAAGTCAAAACATCAGAAAAAATAAGGCCCACCTGGCTTGTCTGGGATTCAGTCTCTTGGCCAGCCTCAGATACTCAAGATTCTTATGATCAGTCCAAACTTGGAAAAGCTCCTTGGCCCCTTCCAACCAGTGTCTCCATTCTTCAAGTGCCAGCTTGAATGCCAAGAGCTCTTGTTCTCCAACATCGTAATTACGCTCTGCAGTGGACAGACTCCTAAAGAAGAAAGTGCAAGGATGAATCTTACCATCAGCAAAATGTTGGCTGAGGACAGCGCCTACCCTTGTGTTGGAGGCATCATTCAGTTTCAGGGGTCCACAGGACAGGAGCAGAGGTGAACATGTTCTTGAGCCTGGAAAACAAAGCTTTGGCTTGTTTGTTCCACAAAAACCTGGTCTTGGTAGAAGTGAGAGCGTGAAGAGGGGCTGAGATCAGACTGTAGTTCTTGATGAATTTACGACAGAAATTAGCAAACAGAACCTCTGCAGATGCTTCCTGTTCTTAGGAATGGGCCATTCTAGAACAGCAGAGACCTTGGTGAGGTCTATGGACACCTGGATGGATGAAATGATGAAACCCAAAAAAGTGGTGGACTGGTGGAAATCACATTTTTCAGTCTTGACAAACATATTATTTTGTAATAGTCTTAATAATACAGATCTCACATGTCTCTTATGGGTCGTGAGACCTTTAGAAAATATGAGGACGTCATCAAGGTAGACAAAGACGAATTGGTTGACCATATCCCTGAGAACATAATTAACAAGGGTCAGGAAAATGGCGGGGGCATTAGTCAGACCGAAAGGCATAACTAAATATTCATAGTGTCCAGCAGGTGTGTCAAATGCCGTTTTCCACTCATCCCCCTCTCTGATGCGGACCAAGTGGTACTCATTTGTTAAGTCCAGTTTAGTGAAAGCTGTGGAACCTTGGATGAGATCAAAAGTGGATGTCATGAGTGGCAATGGATATTTGTTCTTTATGGTAATTATATTTAAACCCCAGTAATTGATGCATGGTCTTAACGAGACATCCTTCTTGCCCACAAAAAAGAAACCTGCACCAGTAGGAGATGCAGATGGCCTTATGTTACCAGCTTGAAGGGTCTTGTTAATGTATTTCTGCATGGCGTGACTCCCAGGGCCAGATAAAGAGTGTAGACTGCCTCTGGGGGGGGGTGCAGAACCAGGGATTAGATCCATGGTGCAGTTGTACAGCCTGTGGGGAGGCAAGGATGTGGCCTTGATCTTGTTTGAGTTCTCCTTTAGGTCATGGTAGTAAGTGGGGACCTAAGAGAGGTCAGGATAAGTCTCCTTTATTTTATCAGAGCTTAGGGTAGGAGACGCAGCATCAAATAAACAGGACGATAAACATCCTTCAGCCCACCCAACAATTTTTCTTTCCCTCCAATCAATGTGGGGATTGTGCTGGCATAACCAAGTCACTCCTAATATAATTGGGAGTTGAGGGGAATTTATTACAAGAAACTTCATCTTCTCGTGATAGTTTCCACTGAGAGATAAAGTGATGGGTTCAGTTTCCTGGTTGGTCTTGTGTAGCGTGTATAATGCCAGCACCACACAGATAGTGAGAGTTTTCTACCCAGTACCTGGATCTGTTGTCTGCGTTTGTCGCTTAGCATGCTAACAAAGAAAAAGGTAAGATGGACAGCTTCCAGAAAGTAAAATAAGGAGATCAAGAGGTGGGAGGCTGTTTTAACACTTAGTTTGGACATATCCTGTCCCAACTAATGTTAAGGACAACACAACAATTTTACACATGTAGCAGAGAAATTTGTTCAGGCTGTGTCTAATTTCAGGGACAGTATGCTTCGTAGGCCGCAGTTGAAAACCAGTTACACCAGAGTGTCACAACGTTCACATATCCCATAATTCATTGTGCCACGGCTGTGAAATAATTTCCTCAACACCAAAGTCTCAATAATTCAGGTATAAAATCCAACAATTTTCAGTCAGGTCATCTGGACGATTTCTTTTTTGTGCTGAGACGTTTCACCTTCCATCCAGAAGACTTCACCAGTCTGAGGAAACACCAAACAAAACTGCTTCTCCCCCAACAGCTTACTCCAAAGTGGAAAAGACAACAACAAAAAAAAGAAACCGTCCAGATGACCTGACTGAAAATTGTTGGATTTTATACCTGGATTATTGAGCATGGACTTTGGTGTTTTGAACCAGTTTGACATGACTGTCTCCTTGGTTCAATTCTGAGTTACGTACTTTAAAGCAGCATCTAGAAACCAGGAGAGAAAATGGCGCTCTACTAATGTTGAAGAATTTTATTTAACTTGGAAAGATAGTCTGCTAACATATAAAAAAGCTCTCCGTAAAGCTAGAACTTTATATTACTTATCTTTAATAGAGGAGAATAAAAATAACCCTAGGTTTCTGTTTAGTACTATTGCTAGACTAATTAAAAGTCCCATTTCTGTTGAACCATGTATCCCTACAACTATAAGTAGTGATGACTTCATGAGATTCTTTATAAATAAAATTATTTCAATTAGAGAGAAAATTCAAACCATCCTTCCTTCTACTATCTCTAGTCCCCTGTCAAATGAGGCAACTTTAAAAATTTCACTAGAGCTTGATTTATGTTTGGACAGTTTTTGTCCTGTTCAGCTCTGAATTGTCAAAAATAATAACCTCATCCAAACCATCCACATGCCTGCTAGATCCCATCCACATGCCTGCTAGATCCCATCCCAACCAGACTGTTTAAAGAGGTATTTCCCCTAATTAATGTCCACATTTTGGATCTACTTAATTTGTCTTTAATGAATGGTTATGTACCACAGAGCTTTAAGGGTGCTGTAATTAAACCTTTACTTAAGAAGTCTGATCTTGATTCAGAAATCCTGACCAACTATAGATCTATATCTAATCTAACTTTCATCTCAAAAATTCTAGAGAAAATAGTTGCAGGTCAGTTGTGTGAACATCTACAAAGAAATAATCAGAAGAGTTTCAGTCAGGGTTTAGAGCTCATCATAGCACAGAAACAGCACTAGTAAAAGTCACTAATGATATTCTCATGGCCTCAGACAATGGACTTGTGTCTCTACTGGTCCTGTTAGACCTCAGTGCTGCATTTGATACAGTTGATCACAATATTTTACTACAGAGGCTTGAATATGATGTTGGGATTACAGGAACAGCTCTAAAATGGTTTCAATCATATCTACCTGATAGATTCCAGTTTGCAAATGTAAATAATAAATCTTCTTCATACACCAAAGTTAGTCATGGAGTTCCTCAGGGCTCAGTGCTTGGGCCAATACTCTTTACTTTATATATGCTTCCATTAGGTAAAGTTATTAAACAACATGGGATAAATTTTCATTGTTATGCTGATGACACACAGTTATATTTGTCTATTAAAACCAATGAATCCAATCAGCTACTTAGACTACAAGCATGTCTTAAAGACATAAAAACCTGGATGACCCTTAATTTTCTCCTGTTGAACAGACAAGACTGAGGTTTTGGTTTTTGGACCTGAGCACCTTAGGAATGAATGTTTCAGTCTTTCTCCCTCCTTAGATGCATTAATCTGTCCTCCAGCTCTAATGTTAAAAATCTTGGTGTTATTTTTGATCAGGACATGTCTTTTATCCCCCACATTAAAAACGTTACTAGAACCTCCTTCTTCCACCTGCGTAATATCACTAACATTAGAAACATCTGATCTAAAGATGATGCAGAAAAACTGGTCCATGCATTTGTCACGTCTAGACTGGACTATTGCAATGGTTTATTATCTGGGTGTCCAAATACTTCTTTAAAACGTCTTCAGTTGATCCAAAATGCTGCTGCCAGAGTCTTAACTGGAGTTACTGGGAGAGATCATATCTCTCCAGTTTTAGCTTCTCTCCATTGGCTCCCTGTCAAATCCAGAATAGAATTCAAAATCTTACTTCTAACCTACAAAGCTCTCAACAACCTAGCTCCATCTTATATTACAGATCTTATTGTTCCATATTTTACTAACAGAGCACTTCACTCTCAGACTGCAGGTTTACTTGTGGTTCCTAGAGTTTACAAAAACAGAATGGGAGGAAGATCTTTCAGTTCTCAGGCTCCTCTCTTGTGGAACCAACTTCCAGTTTCTGTCTGTGACACTGACACATTATCCAGTTTTAAAACTGGGATTAAGACTTTCCTTTTTGATAAATCCTATAGTTAGGGTCGGCTTGGGTTTCCTGAGCTGTCCCTTAGTTCTGCTGCTACAGGCTTAGACTGCTGGAGGACAACCTGACCACAATTTTCACTCTGCTACTGTCTTTACTTACTCTGCTCAACCTGTTTTGTATTTGTAATTATTTTTTCTATCCTTAACGTGTGTTTTGTCTTTCAGATACACCTGGACCTGGACCAATACCTGGACCTGGACCTATACCTGGACCTGGATCTATACCTGGACCTGGACCTATACCTGGACCTGGATCTATATCTGGACCTGGACCTATACCTGGACCTATACCTGGACCTATATCTGGACCTGGACCTATACCTGGACCTATATCTGGACCTGGACCTATATCTGGACCTGGACCTATATCTGGACCTACCATTCTGTGTTGGTCTGTCTCTCCTTCCTGTCCTCTCAACCAGCCGGTCAAAGCAGATGGTCTCTTGTCCTGAGCTGGTTCTGCTGGAGGTTTCTTCCTGTTAAAGAGAGTTTTTCTTTCCACTGTCTCCACTGTGCTTGCTCAGGATGGGAGACTGCAACAAAGCCAAGATTCAACTTGTCTGCTGGATTCCTTAGATAGAGAACTTTACTAACTGGCTTTTATGTGCATGTTCCTGTAAAGTCCCTGAGACAACTTTGTTGTGATTTGGTGCTTTATAAATAAACTGAATTGAGAGAGCGTGCACTGGAGAGCTTTCTGGATGGAAGTCTCAGCACACAAAAAGAAACTGTCCAGATGATCTGACTAACTGTTTTGTGTGTGTGTGTGTTTTGTTGCCATTTTTCCACTGTCCTTTTGTTGCTATTTTGTTTTGATTTGTTAAAAAAGTAATACATTTTGTATGCCTCTTTTGTGACTGTCTATTTTTGTTGTTGTTACTCACTGTTGTCATCATTCTTTGTTAAATCAGGTCTCTCTTGTAAATAAGCCCCCGAGGCTCAATGGGATTAACCTATCTAAATAAAGGTTGAATGACTGAAAATTGTTGGATTTTATACCTGGATTATTGCGCATGGACTTTGGTGTTTCTTTTTTTACTTTATATTTTTGCTATTTTGGGTGTAATTGGACCCTGAGTACAGTTTCGTTCCACCTCATGTACCACACGTGATACGGATGACAATAAAATACTTGAACTTGAACCTTGAAATGAGTCCTCGTGACTCAGACCTGCATAAATAAAGGTTCTTATTCTGACCAGCGGGCGGAGCTCTGCAGCTCTGACGTCACTGAGAACAGGAAGCGCAGAAGAAGAAACTAAACCGGAAACAGACTTTTCCACAACACTTTAAAGCTTTCAGCGCCAACAAGAACCGGAGTTCTACAGACCGAGACCAGAACCGAAGTTTTACAAACCGAGACCAGAACCGAAGTTTTACAAACCGAGACCAGAACCGAAGTTTTACAAACCGAGACCAGAACCGAAGTTCTTCAGACGTCACGGAGATCAGAACCGGCGTTTGGGGCAAGACCAGAATCAGGTCTACAGATCATGGGGACCATGAGGACTACAGATTGAGACTGCCAGGTCTGCAGGTCCCTGATCCTGAAGATGGACTCCCTGCAGCTGTTCCTGGACCGGTTCGGACCCAGCTGTGAGGCGGTCAGTATCCTGTTAGAACTGAGGATGTCAGGTGAAGGTGGTGACGTCACAGACTGCAGGTTCTTGGTGGTCAGAGCAAGGTCCAGCTGGTTCTAAATGTTGCACAACAACTTGGTAAATGTGTGTAAATAAAACCAGAAGTTCTCTTTGATGAACTGTGTTTACCTTCAGGAGGGGGCGTGGCTGCAGAACATCTTCACCTTCATCACACAACACCTGAATCCTGGTACCTGTGGCTCCGCCCACTCAGCTGGTGACCAGTCCTGTGCAGGTGAGCCGTCCAATCAGGTGCTCAGGAAACAAATCACTTGACGTGTTTCCTGTTGTGTATTGTTGTTTACTTGCATGGTATGGTATGGTATGAAGTTTATTCATTTTAAAAAAGTACAAAACAATTCCATAACAATATATAAAAAGATACAAAAAAGTTTAAAATGAAAGGCAGCAGAAAGAAGAAAAAATCTTATTATATCTGCCCCTTTTTTCAAACAATTATTTCAGACATATTAATTTTCAAGTAACAGAACAAAATGAATAACTTTCTAATTTTTCTAATTCTAATAAAAAACACACACTAAGCTACTTCATATATACTTTTTTAACAATCTAGATTTGATCTTTTTCTTAAATGTACACATTGACTTGACATTTTTTACATCATTCTCTAGACCATTCCACAATCCAACTCCTTGGATTGAGGTAGACCTTCCCTTCAGACTAGTTCTGAATTTTGGTTTGACAAATATTTCTATCCCCTTAAGATTGTAACAACTTTGTCTTTTAACAAAATTTCTTTGGATATTTAATGGTAATGTGTTATTTTGAGCCCTATACATAACTGATAAAATACTATAATCTACCAAATCATGAAACTTCAGTAACTTCAGTTGATAAAATAATGTGCTTGATGGGTGACAGTAATGCTTTCTGGTGATAATTCTTACAGCTCTTTTCTGTAAGATAAAAATAGGTTTTGTAAATGTTTTACACGCTTTCCCCCAAACATCAATGCAATAGATTAAATGTGGAACAATGATTGTGTTATACAACATGTACAGAGCTTTATCATTTAATAATTCCCTGACTTTGTACAGTACTGCAATAGATTTAGATATTTTTGTTCTTACAGAATTTATGTGATTTTTCCATGTGAGCTGTTCATCAATGATTACACCCAAAAATTTCATCTCATTAACTCTACAAATCTCAACACCCTCAATTTTAAATGGATCGTCAACAGTTTTCTTTTTGTTACTAAATATCATGTATTTAGTTTTATCTAAATTTAATGATAATTTATTAATTTTAAACCAAGTTTGTATTTTATCAAATTCTGTCTTCATCAGTTCCAACATCCGTTTTACATCTTTACCCAAACAAAAAAATGTGGTGTCATCTGCAAAAAGGACACATTTGAGGAGTCCTGATACATTCACTAAGTCATTCACATATAAAATAAATAACTTTGGTCCAAGTACAGAGCCTTGAGGAACTCCACAAGTGATATTGCACAAGTCAGATCTTACACCATTTATTTGTACAAACTGTTTCCTATCTTTTAAATAGCTAGATACCCAGTGTAATGCTGGTCCTCTTATACCATATTTATTTAATTTTTCAAGGAGAATAGTGTGGTCAATAGTATCAAATGCTTTTTTTAAATCAACAAAAATACTAACACAATACTGTTTTTGATCGACAGCAGTAGTTATTTGTTCTATTATTTCCATGAGAGCCATCGATGTAGAGTTTTTTGCTCTAAACCCATACTGACTGCTACTTAGAATGTTTTGTTTAGTAATAAATTTATCTAATCTGGTCACAAACAGTTTTTCTAGAATTTTTGAGAATTGTGGTAATAAGGATATTGGTCTATAATTATTGAACACACATTTATCACCATTTTTAAAGAGAGGAACTACCTTAGCTACTTTCATATTGTCTGGAAATATTCCTTTTGAAAATGATAAATTACAAATATATGTAAACGGCTCGATAACATAACTCATTATGTCCTTTACAAACATCATGTCCATGTCCACCCAGTCTTTTGATCTCTTATCTGTAAGATTCTTTACAACATTCATTATTTCTTCTTTGTCAGTTCCATTAAGAAAAATACTGTTGTCACAACCTATAACTGAATGTTTCACATTATTGTCTACTTTTGGTATTTTAGCAGCAAGGCTTGATCCAACGTTCACAAAATGATGATTAAATCCATTTACAATTTCATTTTCATCATGGATTTCATCGTCATCCTTCAAAAAATATTGTGAAATACCCGTTTTTGCTTTATGACTTTTCAGAACACTATTTATTACTCGCCATGTAGCTTTCATATCACCATTGCTTTTATTTAATAAATCACTATAATATTCCTTCTTGTGTTTCCTTATAATCGCTACTAATTTATTTTTATACTTCTTATATTTCTCTTCAGCCTCTTGTGTTCTCAATTTCAAGAAACATGTATACAAATAATTATTTTTTTTACAAGCATTTCTCAACCCTTTCGTCATCCATGGTTGGTTAACAACATTTCTCTTTGTACAATTATCTTGCACACAATTCTTTTCATACAGAGCTCCTAAAATATTCATAAACTCATCATATGATCTGTTCACATCATCAACATACACGTCTTTCCAGCTTTGTTTATGTAAATCATCTTTTAATTTGTCCATTGCTTTTTTTGATGTGTTTATTGTTTTTTCCTTAATTGTAATTTCTTTTGTAATGCTTTGATTATTTTTATAAATCATGAAAACTGGTAAGTGATCACTCAAATCACTCATTAAAATACCTCCCATCACATCCCCATTTGTTACATTTGTGAAAATATTATCGATTATTGTAGCACTATGAGTTGTAATTCTTGTTGGTTTTGATATTAACGGATAAAGATTTAAACTATACAATGAATTTGTAAATGTACTGATGTTATTTGAATCTGTTTTATTTCCCAGGTCAATATTAAAGTCTCCACACAAAAAAATGTTTTTATTAAAACTCTTGTCCAATAGTTGTACGATTTTATCAGTGAATATTTCTATATTTGATCCTGGAGATCGATATACACAACTTATTAATATGTTTTTATCATTCTTGTTTATTATTTCTATTGTTATTATTTCCATGATATTATCAACAACTATTGACATTTCATTAATTAATTTACATTTTATTTCATTTTTAACGAATACAGCCACTCCACCACCTCTTTTGTTGCTTCTGTTCACATGATATAATTCATACCCTTCCATGTGAACATAAGTTGTGTTTTCATCGTTGAGCCACGTCTCTGACAGTGCTATTATTGTAAAGGTTCTGTTTAGCTGTTTTAAATAATCTGTTATTTTGGATATATTTGCATTTAAACTTCTACTGTTAAAGTGAATAATAGAGAGACCTCCATTAGTTATATTGATGTCATTAAACTGTTCTTCATTATAATATTCACAGTCTTGTATTTCAGGGAAAAAATTTGTATCAATCGCATCTTCAACATTGTATATTTTAAACTCTAAGTCTTCGTATGTTGCCATATTATAATGTATTTGTTTGTTTTATATTTTGATTATTTATTGCTTGTGAAGTTGTGTCAATGATTTATCATCTATCATTTCCTGAGCTTATTTTAGTCTTTCCAGATCTTTCAGGTCTTTTATTATTTTAGCCTGAGATCCTTCCTGTATTTTGATCCAGATGTTTCCATTTCTTGTCCAAGTTGATGCTATTTTTTTCTGTTTTTTCAACCACCTTGCTTCACGTGCAATGTTTCCATTTTTTTTTAGTTAGATGTTCATTTATGTAAACATTTGTTCCCTTCAGTTTTTTTGCTTGCATTATTACATGGTTTCTTGATTTCCTGCTAATGAACTTGATGACTATGGATGGTTTGGCTTTATCTGATTTGTTGGGCAGGGTGTGACAGATTGAAATATCCTCATGTTCGATGTCAATGTCTTTGCTTTGTAAAAAATTCACTACTTGCTCCTCCAGAGTCTGTAGTTCTTCCTGTGGTGCATCTTCTGCTGTGTTAGTACCAGCAACAACTCTTGCATACTTGCATTGCCTTGTTGTTGTAGTTAAGGTAATTGTTGTTGTTTGCTGTTGTTGTTGTTTACTGTTGTTGTGTTTCAGATGCAGCCTGTGAGCTCAGTGTGTACCAGCTGAGTGTGGACGTTGTGCAGAAGGTCCTGGAGAAGACGTGCCTCTCTCACAGCTTACCTGTCAGCTACAGGTAACACCCTCACACCTGATGACATCATCACTTTCACAGGTCATGTGATCTTCACAGGCGTCCTCCTGTCCATCTGTCTGCAGACCAGTGTCCATCTCTGAGCTCGTCTCCAAGCAGCACCTGGCCTGCGTCAGCAACCTGTCCTGGAGCACCAATCAGCAGCGAGCATGGGCCAAGGAGGTGGAGCTCTCTCTGCCAGGTCAGCAGGCGCTGCCTCGGGTCAACCTGCTGCTGATTGGCCGGCTGAAGGAGGGGCGGGGCGGAGAGTGGAAGCTGACGGACCGCTATGGCAGCATCAGTTGTGAGGTGAGAGCTTATTAGAGTATTTCATTAGAATATCTCACCTGTGGGTGTGGTCTCTCACATATGGGGGTGTGGTCTGTCTCATGTGTGGGTGTAGTCTGTCTCAACTGTGGGTGTGGTCTCACATGTGTGGGTGTGTTCTGTCTCACGTGTGGGTCTCACCTGTGTGCAGCTCGTGTCTCCCTCTCCTCTGTGGCATGATCGTCCTGTCTTCCTGCCTCACTGGAACTACATCCCCCATGATGCCTCAGGGCAGGATGAAGTCAGAGGATATGTGGAGCTGATTGGTTCCCCTGTTCTGCTGTGTCCTGATGCTGAGCAGGCAGCAGGTGCAGGAGGAGGGGCGGGACTTGTCAGAGCGGTGAGCGTCAACGAGGCTGCTGGTTTCCTGCAGAACAGGTGGGTCACATGACCTCTGACCTGTGGCAGCACACCTGAGCTCTGTGTGACCCGTATGTTACCTGTGCATCAGGGTCAAAGGTCAGCGGGTGTCTGTATATGGCCAGGTGGGGTCAGTGTGCCCTCTGCTGGTGGTGGCAGGAACCACCTTCTTCTTCTTCAC